GGAATAAAGGAAGGACACATACGTCGTTAAAATCAATTACATTCGTGAATTATTCCTTGTTGTTCCTGTTGCACTTTGTTGGAAAAACCGATCGGCTGCCAGACGTTAACAAATAATATCCGCAGTGACAATTCGAGATGCATACGTTCTCGTTACAGGACTATAAAGACGTTCGCTGCAGCGCACTGTTTATTTACAATGATAAATGAGATGCGGTCCCCGTAAGCAAACCATTTACAAGGAAGCTACAAAACGTTTGTAATTTATTACAATGCTACGGCCTGGGAACACGTGTTTGCCGCGTGACACGAAAACGAGGAAATGCTGCAAGGCGCACAACTTCCTGAACGGATCACACGCAAGTTGTTATCCAAGGTGGTGGATCTGCAGTTTTCATTCGATCTATCAAACTATGTATCATCTGGCACGCAGCGAAACACCTCCGTTCGCGATTGAGTTCGTTCAACTTATCAGCGTCGAATGTGGTTCTCCTGTTTCGATAACGAGTAATAGATTTTAATCGTAACCGGTGTTATTAATATCGCGGAGGAATCGATAAGTGGACAAAATAATGGAACCAACTTAATTCTGTCTGTAGTATTGAACATTAAAAGGATGCAGATAGTGCAAGCATCGTTATCTGGGAATAGTAGTAATATAAATAGTAGTGATTCTGCGTTTTCAACTCGCAAGCATTGCTTAGAATGCTATTATAATGTGTACATGTTTGCTAGAAAGAAAAGAACATCGTGAAAAGTGTATTTGAAAATTTAAAAGTTCAGTTGCACACAAATTCTTGCAAGAATATTTAAAATTATCGACAGACAGTTACATTTGTACAACTATCTGTAAATGAAAGAATAACTTAAGAAAATAGTATAAAAGTCACTAATTCCTACATCTTCTATTCGTAGCATTTGAAAATTTAACTTTGATGTTCATCGAATGTTCCATGTATATAAAAAGAATTAATTTCGATTGAACGTGTATTATCCTTAGAAAAAATTCCTCCTACCATTTGCGGTAGCGACTACACGATAAAAAAGCTGTAGCTACGAAGTTTATTCAAGCGATAAAAACAAAATGGATATTTCTTCATTTGTATCGGGATCGATGCCTGGGAGGAATACATTAAAAAGTGTTGAATTATAAGGGTCCCCAGGGGTGTCCGTCATAATGCACATGAGCAATAACGTGATCAACGTGACAGTGGCCATCAATTCGCATGATTAATGAACAGAGGTAAAAGATTGAGAAGAAAGACACGAGAACACGGTTTGGTCGTTGAATTTGGATCAAAGATAAAGGCTGAGACCGTGGCTGCTTCCTGCAACACTTACACGTAAAAGCGGGTGGGATCTACAACACGCTCTCGAATCTGTTCTAATGTGCTATCTGACCGGTCTAAGAATACGCGTTACTCGCAACATTTAACCACAGGAATGCGTTACAACACGCAATATGGAACTACTTCCTAGATAGACCTTGGGCATCGTGGACGGGTTTCTGCTCATCCACGGAAAGAAAAGAAAATTGTCGTCGTTCGCATCGCCACAATTAAACGATGCAATTTACGAGCGACATTTGAATCGCGCTAATAAAACAACATCTCGTTCGCTTGTCAAAGGGTAGCCGCGTGCCGCGCGCCGTGTTGGCTCTTTTTTTTATCCTGGAACGAATACGTAAGCCTCGTTACGATATTCGTGATAACATTTATGATTTATGCTTTTACTGAAATTCTAATTTGTGGAGTTTGCACTTGTTATGTTTTGATGACCAAAGGAAAATAACAGCTAGCAAAAATGACCACTTCGTATTCACGAATACCATAATCATAATTTATTAAGACATCCTTAATACGCGCATTCGCGTAACCCCTTCCGACGATCATTAAGAAGCAGCACATTAAAGCAGTAGTGAAAAATTTGATTCACAGTACAAGGTGCACGTCTTTCGTGACAATTAACGAGGGGCTCTGGTAGATGTAAAAGCAATAAACACCTTCGACGAGCACGTTGCCATTTTTGGCCACGCAGTACAATCGATGCCATTCCTCGGACATTTATTTCTTTTCCCTTCCACCGACGCGATACCTTTTGTTCTAACCACGTTGACGACTCTTCGCATCCACCAAAAACTCCTTTTAAATTCCTTTTAAGCGCGAAGCGAATCTCGAGGCGTTTCCGATTCAGACTACTTCTTTGTTGACGATTTATCTGCGGTTCGTGTGAATCCGAGACCCGTTTCGCCAATGTACATTTCACCATCGTCATTTTATTCGTCATAGTTCCTAATGGACAGGAAAAAACCGGTTTAAACGGGACGGTCGCAAGTCGTCGGTGTATCCATCGTAATTTTCAAACACCGACCGGCGACCGTTCGTTAAAGGAATACTTACCCTTTCGCGACGATTGGGCCTCGTTAGGTCGTGAAAATAGTAATAATAACGCTGATTAAACTAATGACGAATACGAGCGACGATCCATTAGCCGCTCGACGAGAAAACATTGCTGAATTTACCGAACACGCGACGCCGATTTGTGCTGAACGCGTTCCATGCCACTTTCAGCTACTCGGAAACGCGTGGCATTCATTTCGCTATCGTTTCGAGTACTTGGACTGTTAGCTATCCCATAATGTTTGCACAGAAAAGTATGATCTTGGTAGAATGGGATAGTTTGTTAGAGCAACTCCAGCAACATTGGATATATTGTCAATAATGTAATATTAGGCTCTGTATTCTGTGTTGGAATTTATCATGTGAGAACCACTTATTAATCACTACAGAAAGTCAATAAAATGTGTTTGTTTTCGATCATACGAGATTTGGAACTCGTATCTAATCACTAATTTTAACCATAAAAAAGGTTGTCATTTTGTTTTTTTTACATCTATATTTTATATAAAATATCAGAAAACTGAAGGTTTAAACAATTATTTAATTGCATATTTTCGAAGAAACTTGTCTTGTTCATCAACTACTGGGACTGATCGTACATTGATTCCCAGCTGTTTGAGTGAAACTGTGCGTGTTGTGTATATTATCTCCGATTTGTGTATTAAACAATGCCAGGAGTCTGCCAGGAAGTAAAGAACATTCGTTATATCACTTAATGATACCTTATTTCTGGAAGAAAATGAACGAGGTGTGGATAGCAAAAATATTAGTTCAAGCCAGAATAACAACAATTAAAACTAGTTTACGCGGTCCATAGAGTAAAGGGTACTTCTATTTGAAAATCAAACGATTAATGGAGAAAATTGCATCGCAAAATTAAATAAACTACGAATAAAGGTAAGTGAAACAGTGTTAATTATCAGCGAGAACATCGTCTTGGTGAGTTTAATTCTGTCATATTGAAAGTTTCTGAATTTTACGAAACACCAATGAAGACTTTGGGCGATGATTAATAAAGAATCATTTGTCCCAATATTCTGAAAGTAAAAAACTACCACCAGCTGCCAGAAGCTTATCAAATAGGATGTGTCACTAATTATTTTCCGTACAAACTAAAGATAGAATAAAGCCCAGCTAAAAAATCCGAGCAAACTTTTTAAACAACACGGTGGTTACTTCTCCTCGTTTCTTATTAAACACCTTCTGCTACAAAGAACAACAATAAATTAAACAAGAATTGGACAAGAGCAAAGTAAAAAAATAGATTTTCCGCTGGAAAAAAATGGATTTTCCAAACATAACTACTTCGGTGGAAATACCTACAACTAAATCAAACAAAACTAAATCAACAGAAACTACTCGACGCTCTCAGGAAAAAATACATCGACACGCTTCCGATGAATTTTAGCGACACGTACGGATAAAGAGATGCTCCCAAAAAGAGTCTCTTATCATTGTGACACGAACGAGACACGGCCGTGTGATACTTTTTATTGGCCAGTGGTAGTAAGCTGCCAAGAACGACTTCTCCCTTGGCAAGGAAAAAAAAGAACAAGAACTAAAAGATCGAAAAGGAAGAAGTAAAAGGGGGAGAAAAAAGAAGGGGGGCTGCTCTCCAACGTTCGTGGTTTTCAGCATGCGCTGAGAACGGCCGTTCAAACACGGACTGGCTTGAAGCACGAGGCGCCAGATATCCTGTAATTTGTCTTTCAACGAATCACTTTAGATGACGACGCGGGACAACGATTTTCGTGGAGCGTATAAATTATAATTTTTCTGCCCGACACGAACGATAGCCACCGTTGTGCTCATTTCGTCATTTCTCCCTTGCAACGTGACATTCTATCTGATATCATTTGGATCTCGTTCGCAACCATTTTAAATCAATTTCCGATAATAATAACACGCTAGACCTAGATACTCTTATTATTATTTTTTCTCTGATTTCTTTGTAAAGTATGAAAGTTGTTTGGATTTTTTATGATTTTGTAGAGTAAACTTGACGAGGAAGTGGATCGAGACTTATTTGCTTCGAAAATATGATATGAAAAGGGACTATTAAAATCATGTTATTACGTGTTATTACACGTAAGAAAAACTAATACCAAAGTATATACATAGCATATATAGGAAAGACAAAATTAACCGTCAATTTTTGCTTCTTCTCGATTGTATCGACATTAGTAATCTCATAAAATAAAAAAGTATCGAGAATTCTTCGTTAAGCATTACATATTACGTACATATAACAGATTCCACGGCCGACATAGAAAGAAGGTGTTTGTCCAAATTAAAACGTTCCACGTGACTGATTGCTCTTTAGTTACAGAACACTGGCCTACAAAAGATCTTTAGAAAAATCGATGACATATCGCTCGTATTAAAGAACCGTATCCTTTGAATTCAGCTTCAAACAAGCCGCTTTACGGTTACTCGGTTTTTCTTCGTTCCGCATACAGCACACGTAGAAACCGCTGCACATTAATTTGATCTACGAGTTTGGCATTGAAGTTAGAGCCAAATTGGAGCCGGCCCCCACGAGTGTTTTAACAGCACACTAAATCGTGAGTAAACCTTTCGGGATTTAATGTTCAAATCTTACCGTTGTAGATATCAATAGAACGAACAGGACAGCTCGATCCATCTTGGCGAACGTTCGTGCGGCTGCTTCAGAATCCAGGCGTCATCTTCGATAACTTTGTTAATTCTCTTCTTCTCGACGAGCTTCGCAAAGAATTCTTCATCGTTCTCTCGAGCACGATTTCAGGCAGTCGTTTCGCGTTGCATCACGGTTTTTGGTTCTATTTTAACTTCGTCGACTGTCATCGAAATCACGATTACACATTTCACTCACGCTTTCTTCTTCTTCTTCGTTTCCTGTCTCATCCAGTCTTTCATCATTCCACGAATTTTTTAACAGATACGTCTTCTTTTGATGTGCAACTTTCAATAAATTTAACAACGATGAAATTCAGACCACTATCGATTATTAGTTACAAATTTTCTTGATATGAAGAAACGTAGTTGTTCGTAATCTTTCTTTTATTTATTTTTTTCTTTTAAATTTCATACCACTTTTCTTATTATCGTTGTTTTATACAAAGCATAAAATTAGTACTATTAGTTTAGATAAATAATGGATTCAAGATCCCATACTGTATATTTCTCAGGCTTCAACCAAAATTGTAAACCCTTTTCAGAGAAACTGACGTGCATAAGCAACACCTAATACCATAAGTCGCTTAAATATCGTAAAGTTGAAGATCGCTCCTCTCGACGAGGCAGCTTTTTACACGTATCCAAATTCATTCAAAACTCTACACTCTGTGCAACGTAATATGTACAAGTTTTTTTCTTCGTTAAGCGAGATACGACCTTACAAACAATGCGATTTATGGCCTCTTACTAAATCCTATTTAAAGGTGAAGAATCCGCGAAACCTGAATTTACTAGACGCGCGGTGAATATATGTATATATGGCCGCGACCATTGAAAAGTCGAATTTTTTCATTTTTCCCCATTTGATCGGGGATTTCTACAGTTCCCCGCGCGAGCCGAGTCCTCTATCTCGCGTCGCGCCAGAGACTTTCCTATTTCATTTTTCCAGTGTTCGAGCAGTATTACATATTTACTGTTCCCCGTGTTACCTTGTACGGGATTCCAAAGACACGGAGGAATTTCCCGGGTGATATCTAAATTGTGATCAACGATCGTACTAGACCCGGATAGAAGGATAGCGGAGATAAGGAAATTATTTACACGGACGATGGTAACGGCACGGCGCGCGGCGGCAGATAAAAATAAGCCAGGAACACCAGCGCGAGACACAGATTGTATAATTATTAGGATGTCACAGAAGATATTGCACGATTTTAGTCACGATTCTCTTTGTTACTCTTAAATCATCTATCCAAGTAATACGTAAGCACGTCGCTGACATGCTCTTATCGAAACAATTTCTATTGAACAATTTCTATTTATGCAGCACACATTCCGTGTAAAATTCCCCGCAGTTTTTCGCCTTACTATCTTATCTGTGATTATTCTGTAACTTGCTAGGTGCAAACATGCTCCTACCTTCATTCTGCTCTTACGATTGAAATTGAAAGACTACCAATGTTTCGACAAGAGAGCAAGGCCATAAGTGGACGCGTAAATCTTTGTCCAATTTGTTTGTTCGTCAAGATTGCGTCGTTGATTATAACTTTGATTAAACCAGAACGATAATTTATGTAAACGCGTGCTGGCGATGGAACTACGTGGTTACAGTATTAATCAAGGGGATGGAGTGCTCAACTGCTTCTTAGGAAATCCACGGGTATTTTTAGGACTGTTTTAAAAATCTACTATTCCTGCTTCTCGTCGAATGAATGCACTTGGACGCGAAAATATATCCAGCGCTTTGGATAATATTTTGAATGCCCCTCAAGATAGGTGTCGGATCTCTATGTATTTTTAAATCGTGTCCCCATTTTTCTGGACCAAGCTGCAGCCTGCATTATCAACAAATTATTTACTTCTGTTTTCTTTTGGTTTGTCACGATTCTTTTAAAATTGTTAACTTTTAAACTACATTAATTGGATTCAGGTCTTTTCTACAGTTAATCTATGATTAGATTTATGCCATTTCGCGTACCTATACACACGCACATAATGCTTTCATGGTCCAGTTGTTAGTGAGCGTTGGACGAGAATCTACATAGGTGTACGTACGGTATATTGGTCGTGCGTCGACCTGTCGAACGTAATCGCTTTTACATAGAATTATTCACTGAAAGTGCGCCGAGGATATTTTTTACCGCTAATGCATTCCGCGGCCGTTTCAATTCCGAATCGGTGCCGCGGATCGAAAGTTCCCTTAGAAAAGCTAAGCAAACGGTTTACCTGGTTGGCGCCAAGCCGTTGGTTCCACTAGATCGATCTCAATTAACAATTCTACATTATCTCTGCGCTAATCGATTGTTTATCCGGTGTATTTGCCGCCGACTGCCATAGCGCCGCTCCAATTCGACAAATTATGGGACTGGTTACGAGCAAAGGATCGGTTCACGTGCATTTTGCCGCGCTGAAATCGCGCGGAATGGCGCGGATTGCACATCTGCGATCGCAACGAATGAATGTAACCGGGAATTTACGAGCCAGGAGGGCAATAAGAACGTGAAATTATTGCAGACCTAATTAAACGTAATCGGTTGGTACTTTTAAATTATCGTTACTCGACACTGTGCTAAAGTTTAAAGAAAAGTAACTCTGGTTGCGGAGAGCCATTGAACGTTTGACTCTTTAATAAACGCGATTGGTAATATAACATGTTTCGGGATTTTTAGTTTCCGTTTAGATAATCGTGCTCATAAATAATGGGAGAATGTAGGCGATGCGTGAAAAATGTTTCGATTCTATTTCTGGCTTGTGCTTATCGAAATGAAGCATTTATGGACTCGAAGATTCCTGGCTTGCTTGCTCTGCGTAAATGTTGAACGTGGCAGAATTATTGAAATTTGAAACATGTGTATTTTCGTGTTTTTTAAGTCAATCTTCAACTATTGAAAAATAGCGAATAATACTATGAATCGAATAAACGGAAACTCGTGAATAGTAGTATTAGTAGAAATATCAAATACTTGAGTATGCAAAATTAGAAGCATGGAATGATGACAAGACTAGATTCCTACGAAAACAAAGTATTTATCATTTACGATATTAAGACAACGATGCTAAAATATAAACGTTACGAGTTTAAAATTAATAATAATATAGCATATAAAAATAATTACACGGATCAAAAGATGAATGTGCAAAACTTTTGCTCATAGAAAGTGAGCGACACCTGATTGATTAACATTCAACAAACCAAAAGAACATTCCCTTATTTTCTACAATAAAACAAAGCTTGCATCTAAAATTCTGAAAGGTCGACTATTAATAGCAAAAAATATTCTTCAGCAACCTAGAAAGTGCATTTTGCCAAGTTGCCAATCAATTGGAATATTCAGCGATTCCGAAATAATTACATCATTTTTTTAGTAATTTATTAGTTGAAGCATCGGCAAGCACGCATATTAATTACAGGCTATTTAAACATTACGCGTCGAGTGCACGGTAAGAACGCGATAAGTAGTCACACATACGGTCGTATGAATTACGCGACACGTATTCGGTTGCCATTCGTATGTCGTTCGAATGGAAAACACTACAGAATACGTTACCAGGGTAATATTTCATACTCGAGTGTATGTATTAATTAATCAGTACCGCGAAATGGAGACAAAGTGCTGTGTAAAGTGCGTTCCTCTTTAAATCTGTCGCCCAATTTCTTAAAAATTTTTCTTCTATTTTTACGCTCCGTATCCCAAAAATCCAATCTACGATTATGTAACCGCGTTTTACTATGAATTCGCTAATCGTGGATCGAAAAGAGCAATTCAACAGTCTCATCGATACCTCGCGTACGCCATGCCGCGCCGTTGCTGCTCTTTCGATGTCTATTTTTTCACCAGCAATGTATACGAGATCACGTTACGTTATTGAAATAAAAATAATACACCCATTCGGAAGGTTCTACTTACGCAAGTCCAGATATAACGCGGAATACCGTTTATTTTTACGATTATCGACCCACTGGGGATCGCAGACTAATAATACACGTTTGCAAACAAGAGATCGACGTACCAAAAAAAAAAAGAACCATTTCCTCGAAAACTGAATAAATGAACGGAATAGCTCGTTAAGTGGATAGACAAGATCGTTACAATGACAGTTAGTGGCGTTAGGAAAATATTTGCTTTCTCTTCAAATAACAAATGAGAGAACAAATAGATAGACTTACGCGCTACACCATGAATAATTTCGTATTTTTAATTTTAATTACTCAGAAAATTAATTTACTACTTTTAATTCGTATTTTATCATACATGTGCATCAGGATGACTGAAAGTGAACAGATTGCTTGTTTATGACCGTCTAATTGTCCTTCCGATCAGAGTTCATCGAGTAAACGTGGCCATTTACAGGTTGCGAGAACGAAAGTTGATGCGTTAAGAAGGGCACAAAGTCAAGGCCACATGCATTCGAATACGAAAATAGCATTAGAACTCATCAAAGGAACGTAAATTTAGATTTGTGCGATACAAAGCGCCTTAAGCTGTTCCGTGTGTATCGCGATAAAAAAAAAAAAAAAAAAAAAAAAAAAGAAAGAAAAAAGATTCTCTTTCTCTCTCTCTCTCTTCCGCGGCAGTAAAAACTGTTATACAGCTGTCTGGTAGAGGAAAGAGGTTCACGTCACAGTCTGACGGTCGTAGAAATCTCTATTACAGTCTGGCACGATTTTCAAAAGCATTTGGACACTTGAATGGCCACACCGTCCGATACATTCCACGCGTATCTTAATTTCATGCTGAATTTGTTAGCATGGAATGTAAAAGGGGCCCAGAAAGCACGCAACACGAGATATACATGTAACGGATATACGATTCATTAGACGAAATTCGATTATTATTGAAGCTGTTCGAGCATTATGCGATGACTGGGGCCAATGTAAAAAAAAGAACCGTGTCAGGCTTGTCCCAACATAGAATCTAGTACGAACCACGAACCGTTGATGCATCGAAACCATTCCCCGGTGTAAAAAAAGATTAAAGACGTCTGATCAGTCTGTCTAAAGGTAATCTTGGAAATAAATCTATGAAAGAAAAATTTCTGACAGTGACATTTCCAACAAATTTTCTCAAACTCTTAAAATTGATTCAATCGATAAATTGCTATTGTTATATTTACTTATTCACACCTCCGTTGTAACGTACCAGGATAACGCGATAAATGTTCAAAGAAATAGCCAATTTCGATTAACACTCGATCACATATTATCACCTGCGATATATTACTTCGTGGACGAACTAATCAATTTTATAACTAAATATCGTGATTTGAAGTTTTCCAGAATTTCAAAGTTGCCGTATCACTGAATTACTCGTGTACGAGTTTTGTTTGGGGGACACTCGTGAGTGCTATGTCGAAATAGTTAACCCGTAAATGTTTCCCATTTAATTGTTCACCATATGCACTGATCAGTTAATTTTGAGAAAAGTTGATAACACAGCTACGGTAGCATGGTGCGTGTTACTGAATACCGAGAGACACAAGTTCCTCTGTCGTGCTTTACAGAGGTGTCGTGCCGAACTGACGGCTCCGGTCGGTGGAGGATCGACTTTATACAGCCGCGTGTCTCGCGGCACTCTATGAACGAAGCCTTAGAGACCTCCACCTTTGTATGTCACCTGCCAATCAGACGTTTCCGATTGCGTTTCCAATTAAGAGGGGCAGTCTCGTATTTTTATCAAAAATTTCAAAAGTTTTCGTCACTTTTTATTTTCTGTGAAGGCGTGTTCGAATCGGAATAAAGATTGGTGGACATGTGCAATGTTCACGTGAGACGTATATTACTTTTCTAAAATTAGTTGACGAAAATTAGTTTTGTAGAGAATGATCAGAATCATTATAACGTTCACCAACATAGATTTGTTTCGTTGAATCATAAAATATTTTCGTATCGCTCAGGTGATCCAAATAATTCGATTTTTAGAAAATCTAAGGTATTACTATAAAAGTTATTCTATACTCTTTATCACTCCAAGCATACAGTTTACGATATGTAATAAGTATTAAAATTAAAAATACATGCCTCCTATTATATAGGAAAGTTCGTTACTCTTGACAATCTGACGCATTTAAAATTCTAAAAGTATAAACTTGAAAGATTCACCGTAAATATTTTGTTCTGTTGAGGAGCAAAAAAGAAATCTTCACCAGCATAAACGGTTCTTTGGTAGACATTTATATTTTACCACGACAATAGATTCTCAACGGTGGCGACAATTTCATGCAGGATCAGGAGAAAAACGAGCAAAGTATATAACTACTGATCCTCGTGATGGTTGTTTATCGCGAAAGGAGCTTACGGGATCGCGCAGTCGCTCTAACAGGCTTGTTTATACCGTAGTGTCGCGATTGCTTTTTTATAAAGACGTGGTTAGCTGGCAGCCGGAGGGTTAACTAATTTTAGTCCCATAATCCAGAACCTACTAAAATCCGTGCATCGCTGAAACCAAATACCGGGACGATCCTGCCACCTCATTCGAGGGAATATCGGAACCTCGAACTTCCTTTTATCGGCTTATTTATACGTTTTAAGAAATACACGCGGAAACGGATTTATTGTATACTCGTGTATCGGTCGATCAAAAGCCGAGCCAATAACTTTGGTCGAAAATTACTTTTTTCCAATCGTTCTAATTTAAACATCACATTCTTTCGGTGAAGCTCTTGTTATATTTATATTTAGTATTTCTTTCTGACGTTGTAACAACTAACAAACTTTTCAAATAGAAAGAATTTATTTATTCAAAGGGTTCCAGACTCGAAAATTATCTTCATTTGTATCAGAGACTCAAGCATACCTGATATATTATTAAAGCCTATACTGGTTCTCTAGTCTCAACAAATTTCAAGTTATCTGATTTTCTCTGATATACAGTGCTACAATTCGATTTCTCTTTTTAGTATTTCTAGTATCTCTTGCATTGGAATGAGTTGATCAACTTTGCGACGTAAAATGCAAATGTACATTATCGCATATGTAAAAGCAGAAACGTAGGATTCAATAATTATTCGAACCAGTTTGATAAATGTTTTCAACCTCCACTTTGTATGAAATTTAGTGTCTGAACGATGTTCAAAATGGTGACTATTTACTATACTATACTCTTTATGATATAGAAAATGAATGTCACCGTCCAACTTAAATACCGGGTAACGTCGAACGAAACGGAGAAGAGACGATTCGAAGATGCGACGTGGTTAGTCCCAGCTAGGAGAGGGAAAAGAGAACACACCGAGCAACCGGTCGTAAGAAAAGATCGCGACGATACGAAACGTGGATATAGCGCATAATCGTCTTTATAGACGCATACTGAATAACGTTTAATATTTACATTAAGCCATCGACCGGGGATCGGTATCATCCCCCCGGAACCGGTGATTTGCAATCCCGCTAATGACGTGCCAGTCTTTCGATAGTCCTTTGCTTCGGAAACAGAAGCAAGCTTTCCATTTATCCCATGTTTTGTCAACGTCATATTAACATTTAAACAAATGTAGCAACATAAAACTATAGAGAATATTGGAATAAAGGTGAATATCGAGTTATGAAATATGGGATGCTGAAGTCTGCTGAAAAATTGTTTTCTGCATTGGAATGTAGAACACTAAAACGTACAACATGAATATAGAGGATACTAAAACGTAATGCAAGGTAGAAAATGAGCCATTGTATGCTACAATCTAGTGAACTGAAATGTCTGAAGCACAGAAATTTCGAATAATGAAGACGAAATTAGAGGATACTAAAAAATAATATATGTAAATATTGAATAGATATTAACAACATTACATATGTTAATAGATTAAACATTAAGCAAGCAACAATGTTTGCTTCTCGAATGATACTTTCCGCGAACATAGTATCATGTACGTAACGCGATATTAATCAGTAATATGATACAACATAAAACTATTTCACACCACTTGACCTCCCGTACTTTAGAATCGCACCTTCTTCGCAACTATAGTGGCTGCATCTAAATATGTAGGATGCGTAAAAATGTGCCGACGCGAAACCACGTGTAATAATAAGTCTGGCATTGATCAAATTTTTGTCGCGCTATGATTTATACCGGCACTAATGGCAGTTCGACATACTAAGATACATAGATGTATCTTACGCAGGAACGTAACAATGTTTGCTCGGTCGCGAGGGCCAGACCTCCAGTGTTCTGTTTCTTTTGAATTACTTATTAGCTAATCGAGACCACTATGCTCAAATACATATATCATCCCGAGTGTTTGTACTATACGTCGAGTGGCTGGAATGAATTTATAGACATCGTACAATGTTGCTGTTGAATGTTTTATGTTAATATTTCCGAGGCCTGTCATTACGATCCGTCGATCGATACCGAGCACTTATAAACCGCAAATGAAAGGAAGAAATTTGCTGAAACGATAAAACTCGAATGTCTAAATACTGTATTATCATCGTTATATATATGCAGCAATATACAACGTAATACTAAATATCGAAACACAGAATAATATGTACATCAAAATAAAGTATAATCGCCTATACACTCTAGATTCCTTATTTTCATCGCAAAGGAGCAATTAATGATCACCGATAGCGCATTACATTTATTAAATAACAAACTACCAGCAATCTGTATGCTTCCTTATTAGAATTTAATTAAATAACATCGAAGAAGATACTCTTCGCAAAAGTGACGTTCGTGCGTCTATATCTTCGCGCGTCCTACACCAACTAATAATCACAGTACGGTATTAGTAGCACCGGTCTAATCACTTTTTAATTCCAAAGAAAATTACGAGCTATCCTTGGATAGGTCTCCTTATTATCCAGATGGATAGGTATCCTTGGATAGGATAGCTATCCTTGGATAGGTCTCCAGTTCACTGCGAGACAGCGAGCAATCAGCCGCCACCGCACGCTATCGATCTAATTCGCTCTAATTCGATAAAATTCAAAGAGCAAAGTCGCAACTAGCGATTCAAGAGCTGCTTCGCCTAGCTGCGAGTCGGCGCGGCGGGGTAATTAGCGATTTCTCAGTGGTACCGATCTAATTTTCTTCTGGGCAAATTATCGAGTAGCGCGCAGATAGAATTAGCCGCGTCGGCCTGGCTGATATCGCTAAATTGCTACATTCCTACGAGACGTCCGGAGTGCATCTCCCTCGTTATATCATCATCGTTCATCAGCCTCTGGTCTACGCGGCGCGCCGTATAAATATATCGCGTTTGGATCATCCTCTTGATCGCTCGCTCGCGCGCGCGCCTCCGTAAATGATTGGGCTAATTTTCCCTCACCAAAACGATGACAATAATAATACGTCTTTATTCCGTCGAATTAAACGTGGCACAACAAGAACCGCGCGGGTACGGTAAGAAAATATTGCGGCTTGGTTGCAATTATCCTGGAAAGGCTGGCCAGAGTTGAGCAGGATGCTGTGAAGAAGTGTTTCAAGGTTTTGATTTATGGCCGACTCGTTTGCGCATTGAAACGGTCGTTGCTACTGTGTTTATTTGTTTGAAGTAGCAGTTTTCAAAGTTACTGAAAGGAACTCCAAATAGAAATGGGACGAAAAAACGATAAATAGATCAGAATTAGTTACTATTAATATAACTGATTTGACGTATATTAATGTTCTTATTAGTAGTGTTGATAGCGAGTGATCACATATTAATAATAAATACATCATATTCGCTGCAGTGTGCAAGATAATTTTACATATATTTTGATATTTACTGCTCTATATGTACGATATATTGGACATATCGTGATGCAAAGCGAGGAGTCACGGAAAATTAGGTAACATATGCGTATAATTTTCTTGGAATAAAATTTTGGAATGGAGGCACTTATTAATAGAGATATGTGGTGTATT